TTTTGAAAAAGTGGCATTTTTGTAAAGATTTCAAAAGTGTGGCATTTTTGTAAAGTGACACTTGAAAAGTGGTATTTTTTGAAATTTCTCTTGAATATTACAAAGAAAATATAAATATTCTACCTATACTTTTCAATGTTAAAAATGAAATTATATAAATGAAAATTTATACATGTTATAAAATAATAATAATATATTTACTGTTAAGATCCAAAAGTGTAAGATTTGAAGAGTATAATTCTCTATGAAAAATAAACAATGACATTTATCAATCATAGATTTATATATAATGTTTGATAAAAAAGAATTGCAAAAATGTCACTTTTAAGTATACATTTGCAAAAATACCCCTAATTATAGATTTTTAAACCCCATATCTTAAAATTCTAAACACTAAAAAATATTTTGACCCATAAACCCCCATAAACCCCCCTAAACTCTCATAACTAAACCCTAATAAAACATAATTAACCCAAACATAAATAATATAAAGAAAAATAATTTTGAAAAAGTGGTATTTTTGTAAAGATTTCAAAAATGTGGCATTTTTGTAAAGTGACAATTGAAAAAGTGGCATTTTTTGAAATTTATAAGTTTTTATGAGATTATTCACATAAATTTATTTTTTATAATTTAACTCTATAATATATTAATTTTATAAGATTTTATCTGATAGTTAATATAAATTTGTAATGTATAAGAATATTTGTTTTTGTTATTAAGAATATGATTTGAATTCTATTTATGTATATATATTTTTTTGTTTGTGTAATATGAATTAGAATATGAAAATTAAGATACAAATTAAACTTTAATGGTTTGATATCGATGTTTAAAAAATGTGAAACTTCTTTCTTGTTCAGTGTATATTATTGACAAAATCTCTCCACAAATTGTAACTCGCTCACATGAATGGAAAAAAGTATAAAATAAACCCACCGACGACGATGACTCTTCTCCTTGGGGCAAACCACACAAATTACCCAAAACGGCATCGTTTACACTATCAAGTGTTTCGTTTTGCTTCAAATGGAGGTGACTGTGCAATTGGTCGTCAGAGGAATATGTTTACTAAGTTTCTTGTGTTCGAAGTTAATGAGACACACGATTCTCTTGTAGAACTTAGGTTGAACTAACTTGCCCAACACGTAAGCTCGAGACCTAACGGTGAAGTTGAGCCTCATTGGCACCGGAGCAGGAGGTGCAGGTGGTTCGATGATCACTATGGCTCCTTTCTTCTTCTTGCTTTTTGTTGGGATTGGTGCAGGAGGAGGTGGTGGGACTAAGGTCGAACCAGTTCCGTATAGAGGAGTCTTGTCTCCAATCACATTCACTACCACCGTTCTTTGACTTTTCCTTGACTGATAAAATTTCTTTATCTAGAAAAGTTAAAAAAACAAATGAAAATCGAGTTTAGTACAAAATATAGTTACATATTTTTTTAATAGAAATAAATTAAAACAAGAAACCGAATGTGCACTTCTGACCAACCCCATGTGATGATGATTAGCAACCGACAACACTGATCAAAGAAGA